CCGCTCCCGTGCCTGGGCGCCTGGTTCCTGCTTACTCAGGGAGGGACCTTCACCTCAGTGAGGACCTCCGTGCGTCTCCCCGCAAGCCTAGGTCGTCTCCCCGCAAGCCTAGGTCGCAGGCGCGGGGACCTGGGCAGCCGCGATCCAGGTCTGCACTTGCTTTTCAAGCTCCCCGAGCGCGCCGCGTTTCCGCGCCAGCTTACCGGCAGCCCGGGCTGTGTGCGCGTCTCCCGGGGTCTTTGTTCTTCTCTAATGGCACCCGGAGCCGTTCGCTCACCGCCGCGGCGGATCCTGCAGGGTTCGCCTCAGCTCCCGTTCACGGGGTGTGGTGGCTGAAATAGTTCCTTTCCGCTCACAGTCCCGCTTGCTGCGTCGTTTGTTCTTGTTGGTTGTTTTGGTTTGTTGTTTCCTCCTCTCTGCCGGTCGGAGAGTGCCGCCTCTGTGGGCGGGGGAGGGGAGCAGGGTTCTGAGCTTCCCTCCCTTCTAGACCTCTTTTATGGCCACTTTCTTCTTCGGGCAGTTCGCTGGCGTCACCCGTTTATCTTCCGTGTCCCAGTTCTCACTGGGACCTGCCGCTTTTCCTCCCTATTCACTTTTTTTAATGGGAGATCTTACTCGCAGCGTCTCCTCGCCGCCATGTTGCTCCGCCCCCTCCCATGTTGGATTCTTTTTAGCTGGTTTGAGTAAAGATGCTTTTTTTGGGTACACAGTAGATTACAGTTAAAACTAGCTTCTACTAAAACTGCATCCTTAAGACTACTACCTCACACCATGCACAAAAACCAATTCAAAATAGAAAAAGGAATTGAAATAAGACCTGACCCCATAAAATATACAGAAGAAAATATAGGCAAAACACTACATGACATACATCTCAGTAATATCTTTAAAGACACCCCCAAGGCAAAGAAAGTGAAGGACAAAATGAACAGCTGGGATTACACCAAACTGAAAAGCTTCTGTAGAGCAAAAGAGACACTACCCAAAACAAAGAGGCATCCTACTGATTGGGAGAGAGTTTTTGCACACAGTATAACTGCTAAGGGACTAATCACAAATATCTACAAAGAGCTGACACTACTCAACAAAAACAAAGTAAACAATACAATAAAAAAAAAATGGGCAGAAGAGTTCAAAAGACACTTCTCCAAAGAAGAAATGTAAATGGCCAATAGGTATGAAAAAATGTTCAATATCACTTGCAATCAGAGAAATGCAAATCAAAACCACAATGAGATACCACCTTATACCTGCGAGAATGGCAGATATTAAAAAAAAAAAAAAAACAGGCAATAACAAATGTTGGCGAGGATGTGAAGCAAAAGGAATTCTCCTACATTGATGGTGGGAATACAAACTGATCCAACCATTATGGAAAGCTGTGTGCAGATTCCTCAAACTATTAAAAATGGAGCTACCATATGATCCAGCAATTCCACTCCTAGGGATTACCCAAAGGACACAAAAACATTACTTCCAAAGGATACCTACACCCCTATGTTTATTGCAGCATTATTTACAGTAGGTAAGATATGGAAATTGTGTTATAATATACATTTGAAATGGACAATTTTGAATGAAAAATTTAGAGAGAGACTAGAAAAGCATTTCTGGTAAAGAGAATAAAATGAATTTGGACCTAGTATATTGTAAATATGATACACAAAATTTATTCTGTTGTATAATATGTTAAGAAATGTGGATATAAATATGCCATTGTAAATGAATCCTTTTTTTGTATTTGTTATGCTTATCACGGGGAAAAGCGAGACCTACATTAAAAAACATGCCATAGGGCCTCCCCGGTAGCGCAATGGGTTGAGCACAGAACTGTGAAGCTTTCTGCAGCCTCTACAGACCGGTTTCATTTCAGGCCGGCCTGGGAGATACCCACATGGTGCAGCAGACCTCTCCTGTCTCACCCGCTGCTCCCCTTAGCAGTATATTTCAGTCCTTCTGCCTGTTTTGTTCCCTGCTCTGTCTCTGGTGAATCCAGTCACTCCCCCCACATCTCTGGCCTTTACCCCAGTTCTGTATGCATAAAATAAATAAACCTTAAAAAAATAAAATAAAAATGCCATAATTGCATTTGTATTTTATCATCTTTTAAATTGGAAAACAGACTAAAGAAGGGAAATTATTCCTGGAAAACATTCTCAGCCCATATATTCACCAATGTGTTAGTTGAGGGTACATCAAGATGGAATGAACTCAGGACAACTAATCTGGGGGACTGCCTCACTGAAGCTAAGCCCTCACATTGCTGCACACTCACCACATTGGGCCAGGCAACAAATAGAAGTTCTGATTGTTTTTCTGTTTTACTCACTTTGCTAGAAATAGTAGGTGTGACACCAGAGGTCAGAGATGGGACTGCTCCATCTCAGCAGTTGGCAATTCAGTACAGAATGGGAGAAAGGTGTGTGCACACAGAGGAGAGGAGGGTCTGCATGTTCAAGAGCAAATTTGGAGTGAAGGACTAGAGGTAAAGGTAGTTTGTGGTCAGGGGAGTGTGTGATGGATTTTGTTTTGAAAAGGTGGATTTCCTTGTGTGCATTTGCAAGTATTATTAATGAGAAGGCAATCTATAACTGCAAGGAAAGCCCAGCAGATATTTTAAAATATTAATAAAACTGAAATGAAAAGTACAGATTGATATCATGTATATAATGCATTCTTTTTGCTTATATGTTCCTATAAATGATATGTATGTTCATATGATTTCTTTTTCTTTTTTTTATTCTCATTGTCATTTTGGGGTTTATTTCTGGAAAGAAATGCTTTCATCGATGATGGACACATGAGTGTCACCACAAATATAAATATCACAATTGAAATTTAATTGATGTACTTTTATTGATTGATGATTATTATGTATTGAACCAAGTATTGATGCTACATTTTCCCCAAAAGATAATGAATCAACATCAACAATCTTGAATTAGAGGATGGAAATTATTCAGAACTCAGTGTAAAATCTTTGAAAAATATCTTGAAATATTATTGCTTAGAGGTGATGATGAATTTAAGTTTTCACAAACCAGGTTAATCCCTGGTTTTGCTGGTTGTGAAAAACATTTGAGGAGGACAGTGTCAAAGATTTCCTACTAAACCAGTTAAACTAGAGTTCAAGGAGACTGAAGTCTCTAAATCATATTAAGTACTGGGGAAGACAATGTTACCTCTGGAGTAAAGAACAGCAAATATCCCAGATGTGAGAAAGTGGAAAAGACAGAAATGAGGTAGTATTTGATCTTGCATATCTGTCAATGAAAATGAGTAACTTGTAAACACCTGATATTTTGAATAATAATTAAAATTTATTTTAGATAATGCAGACTTTTGGAACAAAGATACATGGAAAAATAATTTATGTGTGTGCACATGCATCAAATATTTGATTTCAAACAAGTAATACTTTTTTTTGAAATTATTATATATATATATATTTTACATCATTGTTCATTTTTAAACAATAATTGCTTCCCTCCACTCAGGTGTAGTCCCCACAGAATTTCCTTCACCAATGCACCCTGCACCATTACCTCAGTCCCCTGTGCTCCTCCCTCCCTCCCTCTTATCTCTCTCCCTCCTCATCCCCTGCAGGATGTCTCTGATTTATAATTGTCTGTTTGTTTTTGCTTTGTTGTGTTTTGTATTGTAATTATATTTTTCCCCTGCTATCTTATTTGGTTCCCCTATATTCCTCTTATAAGTGAAACCATCCGATATTTTTCTTTTTCCTTCTGACTTACTTCACTGAGCATAATTTCTTCTAGCTCCATCCATGTTGCTGCGAATGGCATGAGTTTATCTTTTTTGATTGGTGCATAATATTCCATTGTGTATATAAACCACATCTTGATCAGTCATCTATTTTTGGATTTTTGGGTTGTTTCCAGGTTTTATCTGCAATAAACACAGGGGTACAGGTATTTTTTTGAATCAGTGTTTTGTTCCTCTTGGGTAGATCCCTGGGAGTGGAATTTCTGGGTCATATGGCAGCTCCATTTTTCATTGACTGAGGAACCTCCAGACAGCTTTCCATGGTGGTTGGACCAGTCTGCACTCCCACCAGCAATATAGGAGCATTCCTTTTTCACCACATCCTCGCCAACATTTGTTGCTGCTATTGTTTTGATATGTGCTGTTCTTACTGGTGTAAGGTGGTATCTCATTGTGGATTTCATTTGCATTTCCTCTTTGGGGAAGTGTCTTTTATGTTCTTCTGTGCATTTCTTAACTGCATTGTTTAATTTGCTTTTGTTGAGTCCTGTGAGTTCTTTGTATATCTTTGTGAGCAGTCCCTCATCAGTTGTATGCAGGGCAAAGATTTTTTCCCAATCAGTGGGATGTCTTTTGTTTTGGTTAATGCCTCTTTTGCTGTGCTGAAGCTTTTCAGTTTGATGTAATCCCAGGTGTTTATCTTTTCCTTGACTTTCTTTGCTTAGGGCGATGTGTCTTTAAAGATATTACTGAGACGTATGTCTTGTAGTGTTTTACCTATATTTTCTGCTATATATTTTATGGTTTCAGGTCTTATGTCCAGATCTTTTATCCATTTTGAGTTGATTTTTGTGTGGTGAGAGGTAGAGGTCTAGTTTCATTCTTTTGCATGTGGTGGTCCAGTTTTTCCAAAACCATTTATTGAACAAACTATCTTTGTTCCATTGCATGTTCTTTGCTCCTTTGTCAGAGATTAGTTGTCCATATATATGACCTTATTTCAGGGCTTTCCATTCAGTTTCATTGGTCTGTGTGTTTGTTTTTTGAAACAAGTAATTCTTTATTTCCTCTTTCAGGTTAATAAACAACACAAATGGCTTCAAAGACAAAATGTATTGTGGATATAGACATTCTGACTATGTTTATTATATGCTTTGCACTCTAAAGGATTATTATGTATGTGAGAAATTGGCTAATCTAGTGAAGATTGAGAATATGCTAATAAACGAAGAACCGGATGGATTTATATAGTTAGTGCACTTATTTTGTTTCAGTTATTATCCTGCAACTAAAAGCAACTTTATGCAGAGCACCTCATGTGGACCAGACAAGTGGAATAAAGATGCCGACTGACAGACTTTCTGCCTCTCTCCTAATACTTCACGCTTTTCTAACTTTCCTCTTTGTCTTCATTTTATGAGTAAAAGGAATTACTGAGAAAATACTTTAACAGATAGACACAGACATATTGCTGAGCATAAATACAGAATTTTGGTTGAAAAGTACAGAAGAGGGGCCTCCCCTGGTGGCGCTGGTGGTTGAGTGAGCGCTGTGAAGCCGTCCACAGCCTCTGCAGTGTAGGTTCGATCCCGGCCATACAGCGACAATCCCACATGGCACAGCAGACCTCTCCTGGCTCACCCGCTGCTCCCCTCAGCAGGGTATTTCAGTTGCTCTGCCTGTTCTGTTCCCCACTGTCTCCGGTGAATCCTCTCACTCCCCCATAACTGCGGCCTGTACCCCAGCTCTTGTATGCATAAATAAATAAATCTTCAAAAAAGAAAAATACCAAAAAACAGCTATTTTGTCTTGATTCTCCCAAAAGAAACAAGGTAGATACCAACATTAAAGAAAAGTCAAAGGAAATTAAATCTAGGAATATACATCAATGGGAAGAGTGTTGCATCATCACCAATTGGGGTTTATTCTACTAATGCAGATTTATTTCAACAATGGGAAAGGAAAAGAAAAAACATAGTTCTTTATAGTTACAGAAAAATCATTTGATAAAATTCAACACTACATAATAAAGTCTCTCAGAAAATAGAAGCAAATGTTTTCCTTCTCTGATAATAGCATTAAAGAGAGACTGTTGACATTAAAAAGAGAAGGAAAAAACCACTAGCAACAAAAAAAAAAAAAAAAACCCTAAACCTAACATTATGCTTCTGGTAAAAGAATGAATGTTTTTCCTTTGAACTCTGGAACAAGATATGAATTTTTTGGGGGGTCCTGGGGAATGAGAACCATCCCTCATCAGCAGTTCAAATGCTAAAAATTTATGCTTCTGAAATCTCTTGATGTCATTTCTACACACAGAGCAATAGAGTTGCCCTACACTTGAACTTAAATCAAGAGCCCATTTTTAAAAGAAGGATCTTTATCATTTGATTTAAGATCTTCCACAGTCTATTTGAGATTCTAACTGTGGAAAGAGGCAAGAAAAAGAAATTTTAAAATGCAGAAACGAGAAAGAAGACATTTTACTTGTAGCTAAAGATGCCGACTGACAGACTTTCTGCCTCTCTCCTAATACTTCACGCTTTTCTAACTTTCCTCTTTGTGTACATAAATTGTGTACATAAAAATATAATTTACAAACAGACTATATAACTCCATGTCACTGGAGGTAATCTTAAAGAGGCAATATCAATTCTATTTCTAAATGTCAACAGTAAACAATACCCTTTATACTAACACCAAAGTGGAAAAGAGTAATACACCTCATAAAAATGTGGAAAACTTACATGCAAAATGGCCCCATGGCATCACCTCAAGAAACACTCCCTTCCTGGACCCGGCCACCAGACTGTTCATTATGAGCAAGGGAAGTAAAATGGGAATCAAGTAAACAATCCAATTTTAAAATGGGCAACCTATCTGCATAGACATATCTCCAAAGAAGACATACACATGGCCAATAGGCAATGGTAAGATGTTCATAATCTCTTATTATTCGGGAAATACAAATGAAAATAACAATGAGATCTCATTCCACCGCTGTGAGCATGGTCATTACCCAAAAGATGAAACAAATCTTGGAGATGATGTGGTGAGAAGAAACCCCTTATATACTGTTGGTAGGATGGTGAGTTGGAGTAGATGTTTTGGAAAGCAGTATGGAGAAATCATACAGCATATCAAAAATAGAAATCAAAAATAGAAATTCAAGAAATCAAAAATAGAAATTCTGCATGATTCATTTATCATACTTGTGGGTATTTACCTCCAAAAGTAAACATAATAATGCAAACACTATATCCATCCCCCCCATGTTTATTGCAGCGTTATTTACAATAGCCAAGAATTGGAAACAATTTAAGTAGATATCATCTGAGGAATGGATAAAGAAAATGTGGCTTATATATGCAAAAAATGAATACTCTTTAGCTATAAAAAGTTGAATTTTTGCCCTTTGCAACAATATGGATGAACCCTGAGGGTATTACAATTATGAAATAAACCGGATAAAGACAAACATCATTTGATTTCACTAATGTGTGGTACATAGAGAAAATAAATAGGTGGACTAAATAAACAAAAACAAACTTCTGGCCTATAATTAGTGGTTATCAGAAGGGAAAGGAGAAGGGATGGATAAATGAGGACAAAGAAACAGCTGTATGGTGAAGGATAGAATCGAACTATTGGTGGAGAACCTCCTATAGGACAGGTACATGTTGATTTGCAATGATGCACACCTGCAATTTATATAATGCCATGATGAAGTGTTACTTCAAAGAAATTATGAAATAACTCGAAAACAATCATTGCCCTTTTCCCAGGTATGCTTTGCATACTTGGGCAAGAAATGGATGGACCCCTGCTTCCAAAATTGTGGGGTCAAACTTAAAAGAAACTAACTTAAGAGGCCCTCTAGACTCCTTTTCTTCTCCTTTTTGGTAGATTCGTTGAGAGCTTGTTCAATGAATTGAGCCAATTTGCAGAGAAAAAAAGACTTATCTCATCTCTACTGGCCTGCAGTTATTTCTAGGCCTTTTTCCATTAGTATGCATGTTACCTCGGTCCCAGATTCCTTAGTATATTTCTTTGTTATAGAGAAACTAAGTGTTCCTTAGTTCCTCTTAGACTCACTGGCGCTATGTAACAAGGGGACAGGGTGGGACTTCTACTCTTCCTTCTCTCTGTGCTGCTTTCTGTACATGAGCAGTTGCTCTACTAAGGCAAACTCATCTGACAGCACTTGGCTAGACACACACAGGACTGCAGTTCCAGGTCATTGCTGTAGACTAGTCAGTGTCTTGAAAGACATGAATAACATCCCAACATCATTTTAAGCTACTTTCTGTAGTTGGTAAGTATACAGAAATGGAGAAAAGAAACAGATAAGAGGCAGTTGAATGTATGAATAAGTCAGCTTTTCAACAGCTGTTTGTTCTTATATAATACAACAGCCTAGAGTTTATTTGCAGCTTGTTTTGGGGTTCAAAAACTTTAAATTTATATTTTGTTTTAGAACCACAAGCTTAAATCACAGATCCTATTTAACATTCAACTCTGAGTGTTTTTGTTTGTTTTTTGAGTTTTTTTTTTAATAGTTTGCCAAGCTTTCTTTGCATTGCCATCAATGTATGAAGAAGTTATGCATGCATATCTAAAATTCCAGGACTCCAGTAAAACAGAAAATGGCAAATCTGGGATAAAAGGTAAGATTTTGAGCTATAGTAGTGTTGGAATGTGGTCAACTAATGTGTGGAAGAGTAAAGGTAGAAGCTTGTCCCCTAAGTGTGAGTAAAGTAACAATTATTGTTCTATTTTAGTTTTTAATTAAACCCCCATTTGTACTAAAGCTATTAAATGTGTCCATACAAATGTTTATAAAGGGTTTTTTAAAGGTTCTAATCAATAGTTTGAACACTTAATTTTTTCTATTTTAATATTTCACTCAAGACAGTTAGGATTGTATTTCATATAACTGAAAGGTGATTTTTTTTTCTCCATAAAATGATGCCAAATGACAAGGAGTATATGCTATTTAGAAAATCATGTGTTTGTATGTTGTTTTTTATATAAGAAAATGCTAGCTTGTATGTGTGTGTAAAAGAGAGGGAGGACACGACAAAAAAAGAGAAAGAGAGAAATTTAAAGACTTTCATTTGACTTTATATTAATTGAAGTATATATTATCCTGAATTTTCAATTTCTTCGTCTTCTTTTGGTCTTTTCTCAACTAACTAAAATACAGAAAAGGTTAAGCTAAATGAAAAGACACATCACAACTGAAGGAAGAGAAGCAAGAAAAAAATACAGGGAGATAGAACACGGAAAACCATGATGAAATTGAAAACTTTGTAGTTTCCAATACAAATTTGAATTATGATATAAATGGGCCAGATGTGTAGAATTTAGGTTATACTTCAATAAAGTGTACCCAAGATTCATCCTATTCACACCCCCATATTATTCTGAATTCCTTGCTCCTGGACTTTTGCATGCAGTGTGCTCCAGCACATTCCCCAGTGTGATTAATTAAAAATTACTTAAATGCTAAGTCTGGAGAACACAGAAAGCTGGCAGAGTTGGTACACTTAGAAGAGAGAGTAACAGAAGAATCCTCACATATTTTTTGTGTCTGCCAACAAAATGTGGCATTTTTTGAAATTCTAAATTTCCTGTGAACAGAAATTTCACTGTTAGATTTCAGATTCATTTCTCATCAACATTGTAACTCTTTAGAACAGCTCCATTCTGTTGTCTCTCCCTTTAATACATAATTTCTAAGGATGACCCTTAAGGATTGTACAGTATTTTCGATTTTATTTTCTTTCTTCATATTTCTCCTTTTTTGTGTGGTGTAAGAGGATGTGCATACCAAAAATTTTCTATGCCAACAATTACCTTTTTTGTATCCCATCACATTCTCTCCTCTATCTGTCCCACTAATTCATCTTATTCTAAATCTCCACTTCAGAAATTTTCTGATTCTCTGGGAGTCTTGAATCTATGTCTCATTATTTTCTCAGTTCCATCTAATTTTCTCATCATGCAGCTTAAAGTCTATAGTATGTAATATAACATTATATTATGTAATAATATCTCTTACTCTCTTGCCACCTTGTTTAATGTGCTGTTATTTTCCCTTGAAAAAATCCAATTCTGGTTTAATTCAAGTATTTCCTACTCTGAACTCTACCCAAATAGCTGGACATTGCTGATGACAATTACACAAACTCTCAAGCCCAGTTTCCTAAACTTCTGTCTGAGCTAGTCCCGTCTCACTGTTGTCGATGCAATAATATTGTGCCAGTCCAATGCCAACTAACTCATTAAGTCCTCGGGAAACAGTGAAGAGGAAAAGAACTGCATAGTCAGGATCTTACCTAAGGTTAAAAGTATAACTTCAAATGTTGTCTTTCTTTTTGTTTTTTTAAAGATGTATTTATATAAGCATACAAGAACTGCGGTATAGCCCAGAGGTGCAGGGAGTCAGAGGATTCACCAGAGACAGATTAGGGAACAGAACAGGCAGACTGACTGAAATACACTGCTGAGGGGAGTAGCCAGGGAAGTCAAGAGAGTTGTGCTTCTCCATGTGGGTAAGTCTTGGCTGGCTGGGGATCGAACTCATCCTGCAGAAGCTGCAGATAGCTTCATAGTGCTGTGCTTAACCCCTTGTGCTACCAGGGAGGTCCTGTTGTCTTTCTTAATATTTATTTTCTCATTTATTTTTATATTCAATTATTAATCTGAGTACCCTCTTATTAAGCTGAGTAACTTCTTTAGTCGAACACTATTCTGGGTACTAAAAATATAGGAGTAAGGACCTCTTTTATAGAAGATAAATTTTAAGTGTGTGAGAAAATAAATGATTGGAGAGAGAGAGACAGAGACAGAGAGAGACAGACAGAGAGAGATCTCTAATTGCACTCTGGTATGTGAAGATTTAAAACTGAGTTATAGTCTAGAAAGCTGGAAGACCAGCTCTTATGGTCAGTGGGAATCACCACACAAATTCAGTGGAAAGGACATCACAGAAAGTAAGAACATCTAGCTGAAAGATCCCAGGAAAGCCTGATGAACTTGCTTCCTAGTTCATTCTACACCTTCCCTCTCTGCGACTAACACTGCCCTCTTGCCATATTCTTATATCCCCTGTTTTACTTCTAGATGGTAATTATGAAATACTCTTTTCAAAAGGCAAATTTCATTTTGCTGTGCATTTCAATCATGTACCTTGTTCAAAGACATTTTTCTACAAGATTCCGCTTTCTCTGCTGCTTCATTGTCCTCTCACCAATATACGCTAGTACACTATTTTAACAAAATACACCCACTAACTTGCCCAACAAAATCCATTTATCTTCCATTTCTCTGTTTCCTTCATAGCCCAACTTTGGGACAGCATTACCTTTGGTCATGGACTCATGGTCTTCAGAGCTCCTTCTCTTCTCAATGGACCACATTCGGCTTCTGCCCTCATTGTTCCATGGAAATTCCTATGAATCCAGGCCACTGATGGCCTCTCTGTTTCACCCCAAGAATCACATCTCTGCTCTTTTATTATTTGACTTCCCTGCAGCGTTCACACAATTGCACCATCCCTCTTCCTTCACACTTTCTTTACACTGGCTGCTGACACATATAGCGAGTGGGGAACAGAACAGGGAGATTGACTGAAATACACTGCTGAGGGGCACAGCAGGCAAGACAGGAGAGGTTTGTTGTGCCATGTAGGTAACTCCCTGGCTGCCTGGGGATCGAACTTGTGCTGCACGGTGGCAGGTAGCTTCACAGTGCTGTGCTGAAGCCCTTGCGCCACCGGGGAGCCCCTGGATCAAACTCTATTTTATGGAATATTCCAGGACTCTCCTCTGGGTCTTCTGTTTTGTGACACTAAAGATACTTTGCTAAGTTACCTCATTCATTCCTTTGGATTCAAATACAGTGACTTCCAACTCTCTACTGATGATCTGTCCTTGATTTTCCAGACTAGAAAATCAAATACCTGTTTCACATTTCCATATAGATGTCTAACACCATCTTAAATTAAAATGGTAAACATAGAAATTTTTTTCCTCTTGTTCCTTCTTCCTAATCATCTTCATATCATTAAATGCATATATAAATACTTAAATACAATCACCAAGTGTGTGCTACATGCCATATTACAAATCTTCAACCATATAGTTTCTCATACTTTGTGGTTTCTGTTTCTTTTTTAACGGATGTGGAAACTAAGACACAGAGAAGTTAAACAACTAGTTCAAGTTTCCGCAAGGGATAAGAAGCAGAACCAGGATTCAAGGCTGGATATTTCAACCCTATAGAATGTTCTGTGTTTGTTTTTTATCACTGCTACGCTCCTTATAAATATGCTGATCTCATTATTACCTAACAACTTTCTCAAATCAAAAATCTCTCATAGATTTCATAAATGTGTGCTACAAATTCTAACTTCAAAATGTCTTCACCACATACCCCGTGAGTCACCCCATTCACTGATACTAGTAAATCCAGCTACTGTTCTCTCTCATTGGTCTGTTGCAAGAAGTTCCTCTCTGTGTTCCCTCTCCCAGTACTGCAGCTCTACAGTCATCTTCTATATTCTGTAACAACCTTTCTAAAAATATTATATCTCTCTCCTGATTAAAAACCCTTCCTATAATTAAACAAACTCCAGTCCCTTAACTCTGGCTAACAGAGGCCATAAATACTATTTCCTGTCTTTTTCTTTGACCTCCTCCAATATCTTTTCTCACTTTGATCAGAATTTTATTGCTACTCTTAATGTTTTCTGTTTTTCAAATAAACCCTAGTTAGGGACTGAGAGCTAGTTCTTACTGCCTATGACATTCTCACCACTGATTTTGTGTGCTAATTCCATGGTAAGGTCTGAACTGCTTATGCTTAGAATATAACTCCATTATAATCTTTGCATACCATACCTCAATTGAGATCTATCTGTCTATCATCTATATATCGACTATCACCTATCATCTACCTGCTATCATCTATCCATCCATCAACCCATTCATCCACCTCTCTACTAATCTAATTTTTTTTCTCATAGTTAAAATTTATATTCTGTAAGAACTGGAATTGTGTTCCCTGCTCACTGTGTTGTTAGTACCCAGAAGTACTCTGTAAGGATGGTACTCTAGTAACTATTGAATAGTTCAGTACACAAATAAATATGAAAAATTATTAAGAAAGACAACATTTGAAGTCATGCTACTAACCTTACATAAGATCCTGACTCTGTCGTTCTTCCCTCTTAACTACTTTCCAAAGGCTAAAAGAGTTGTTTCACGTTTTATCAGCAATCGTTTCTATACTTTATTGCATCATCAACTGTGAGACTTAGGCATTGCTCTGAAGTTTAGTAAGAGTCTCATGTTATCCCAGATTTATATTTTCTTGAAAGATTTAGTGTTCATATCTTCATGTCATAATAATTTAAACATGTGATGATTTAAAATTAATTTTAAATATAAATATAATATAAATTAAACACATAATTACTTATTTTTTCTTTAGTAAGAAAATGATCTCTTGTGGGCTTACTGATCGTGGAAAAATGAAGTATTCAACAAAAATTTGTTGGTAAAAGAACATGAAAAAGTTTCAATGAGGAAGTGATGTCAATCTATTCTACGATCTAGTTTTTAGGGGGACTCTGAGAGACATTACAAATAGAGGTGCAGGCGATAGAGCACACAATGAAGCTATCTGCAGCCTCTGCAGTGCGGGATGGATCCCGGCTGGCTGGGGAGATACCCACATGGCACAGCAGACCACCTGTCTCTTTTGCTACTCCCCTCACAGTGTGTTTCAGTCAGTCTGCCTGTTCTGTTCCCTGCTCTGTCTCTAGTGAATCCTCTCATCCTCCTGCACATCTGGCCTGTACCCCAGCTCTTGTATAAATTAACAAAATCTTTAAAAAAATAGAGACAGCCCCAAGACACTCAGGATGTCCTGAGGGAAACATACATCACTGATATTATTTTTCAGGATTTGCTCATTGTCCATTCAAGGATTGAACTCCCTGTTAGCTGACAGCTGCTCAGTTTCCACAAATTTGGACAGACCAGAATCTAGATGGATTGGTCTTCTCACATCTCCTTTAAAATTCCATTTCTGCCTTTATTCCTTGAAGCAGCCAATCAGTTAACAGCCTCTCTTGTGAGACCCATTTCAGATGCTGAACAACTAACGAAATATTTTTTATTTCTTTTTGATTTATTCTTCAAAACAGATTTTTTATTTCCCTACCCCCTTATTTTTTTGCTTTTGAACTTTCTTTAAAAATGAACAATGCTGTAAAAAATATGTAAATAAAAAGAACATTTTAAAAAAGAATAAAAAAAATTTTTTTTTGAATTATCCTTGAGTTTCTAGCAAAAACATTCTTTCACTTTGAGGACATGTTACGTATGAAGTTAAAGCAAAATGAATGAATGATTCAAATTACTATGTACACCACTCCCACTCTCTGTGCTCACCTTGCTTCCCACAGTGCCAGCCGCCCCTCCCCGCACCTGGCAGTGCCGTGTGGTGGCTCTGGCTCTGCTCTGCCTTCTGCTGCTGGTTGGACTGGGAATCTTAGGAAGTATGTGTATGTATTACCCATATTTTGATTGGGTGGGAAAACATATAGTATCACATCAGTTTTACAAAAAAGTTTCACTCTTGGATTTAAGGCTCTGAACCCATAGAACACACATAGAATGTTGCACTTACAAGACAGCACTCAATCTCTCTCTCTGATTCCTATAAAGAAAGTGATTGCTTCCCTATACCTTTAATATTTTAATATGATTTCAGCAAAAAAGAAGTGGTGGTTGATTGAGGGATTACACTCTATAGGGGGGTGGGGAGTGGGGAAAGGAGGGATTGGGGTCAAAACAAGGGGGTTGTAATTGTATGGGGAATATAAAAATAAAATTTAAATCAAAAAAAATAAAAAAATAAAATTTTTAATCTTCTATCTTGTTTGGGATGGAGTTTATGGAACTTTCAACAATCAAATGGGAAAAGTGAACAAACTACAGAGCTTCAAAGAAGAACTTCAACAAAATCTTTCTCTACAACTGATAGAAAACATGAATAGTTCTGGGAAGATCAGGAACCTCTCTATCACGCTGCAAAAAATGGCCACCAAATTATGCCATCAACTATATGAAAAAGATTCAGGTAATCTTCTGTTCTTCTCTGAGTAAGGTGACTAAATTTAAGAGTAACTAGAGCATCAGTTCATTGCTATCTAGTAGTTTTTCCTTAGAAGCCATTATTTGGGGGAAGGAATTAAATGTGGCTGACAGAGGATGCATTGATATTTTCAAGTAACTAGAAAAAAGAACCAGAAAAGGTAATTATAGCCATAGACCCCAAATTATCTCCAAATGGGGATAATAGCTACTTAATAAAACATTAGCTAGCACAGTTTCTCTTCTGACATGTTTTAATTTTTTTGTAAAGATTTATTTATTTATGCATCAAGAGCTGGGGTGTAGGGCAGAGGTGCGGGGGATGAGAGGATTCACCAGAGACAGAGTGGGGAACAGAGCAGGCAGACTGACTGAAAACACTGGGAGCAGCAGGCGACACAGGAGAGGTCTGTGTGTCGTGTGGGTAGCTCCCTGGCCGCCACAAGGGAGGCCCTGTATTACTTTTATTTTGGGCACTGAGTAGAAGTTAAGGAGAAAAACACATATCTTTATGGTGACTTCATTTCTAAATTTCAGTCAATGTTTGATTAATATTATTGTAAAAGAAATAAAACTAGACTTTACCTCATGAATGTAAAGGAATGGTGTTTAAACATCTTTAGCAGCTTCTATTCCTTTTATAATGAACACATGATCTTTGTGATCTTGAGAAGTCTCCCCGGTATTCAACAAATCCGAGAGCTAGAAATGTTTTAGTTAGAGAAGCCAGAATGGATGGAGGTTTGTGGGGTTGATTCTCAACAGACAATGTTTCTTGGGATTAACTTTCACTACCAAGTAGGAAGATAAAACATGAGTGAGAGAAGGAGATTACGTGATCATTATTCAGGGCTCCTGAGGAAGGAAAATATAGTGCTCTTTCCTCTGACATGTGTTGTTCTTGTGATGTTTTCAACACACTACCCTGGTATGTAGGAACCTAGATCTCAGGATTCACTTTCTTCAAAACTGATGTTAAAAAAAGAAACACAAGTAAATTTGTTTAACTTAATATAGAGGATAATGGGGGAAATGAGAATAAGGTAGATTATCAGTGCAACCCAAATACAACTGTTTCTTCCCCCCAGGACACAAATGTAAACCTTGTCCAAAGGACTGGTTGTGGCATGAGGACAGCTGTTATTTACTCAGTCAGGAGCGTAAAGATTGGCAAAGCAGTGAACAGGAATGTCACAATCTAAATGCCAGTCTGTTGAAGATTAAGAACAAAAGCGTATTGGTAAGACTTCATTCTAATATCTAAATACACATTTCCCTTTTTTAAAAAGATTTATTTATGCATGCATGCAAGAACCAGGATACAGGTCAGATGTGTGGGAGAGTGAAAAGATTCACCAGAGACAGAGTGGGGAACAGAACAGGGAGATTGATGAAATACACTGCTGAGGGGAGCAGCGGGCGAGACAGGAGATGTCTGCCATGCCATGTTGGACCCTCACCGGCCAGCCAGGATGGAACCGGTGTTGCAGAGGCTGCAGACAGCTTCACAGCACTGCACTCAACCACCTGTGCCACTAGGGAGGCCCACACATTTTACTTTTTACCCGGCATTTCTGATTGCTCAGAGAGTAATCATATATTCTTTTTTTTTCTTTTTTTTTATTAAATAATAAATTTTATTTTTATATTCCCCATACAATTGCAGCCCCCCCATTCTGACCCCAACCCCTCCCCTCCCGCCCCCGCCCCCCAAAAAGTGTCTCTGGTTCGTAGTTTTTTGTTGATTTTGATTTTCACTTTCTTATAGTTATTCATTTTCCTGGTCCCTTATTTAAGTTTTCTAGATTCCTGCTAGGAGTGAGACCATCCGGTATTTTTCTTTTTCTTTTTGGCTTATTTCGCTGAGCATGATCCCTTCCAGCGCCATCCATGTTGCTGCAAACTGCATGTGTTTATCTTTTTTGAATGCTGAGTAATATTCCATGGTATATATGTACCACATCTTCTTGATCCAGTCATCTATTTTTGGGCATTTGGGTTGTTTCCAAAGCTTAGCTATTGTAAACAGTGCTGCTATAAACATAGGGGTGCAGGTGTTCTTTGGAATTGATGTTTCTGTGTCCTTTGGGTAAATACCTAGGAGTGGAATTGCTGGATCGTATGGAAGCTCTATGTTTAGTAGGTCCAGAAATCTCCACACAGCTCTCCATAGTGGTTGGACCAGTTTGCTCTCCCACCAACAGTGCAGAAGAGTTCCTTTTTCTCTACATCCTCGCCAACATTTGTTGTTGCTAGTTTTTTTAATATGTGCCATTCTCACTGGTGCAAGATGGTATCTCATGGTATTTTTGATTTGCATAGTACATTCCCCCAAATGCCTCAGCTTCCCTACTGTAAGAACCTTTGTCCTAATTTACAGAAGAGGAAAAAAATCAATTCACAGTGACTTGGTCATCGGATCACTCATAAGTGATCGATTCACAGCTATTTCTTCAAAGAAAAATGTTACACTATGAAAAAAGCTTATTACTTTGGCTACAAAATTCTGGACTAATTCTGACTTCTATTTATAACCACTCTAAATTTGCTTCACTTTACTTCTAGTCTTTCTGTTTCTATTAACTTGTATTTATATTGATTAATTACCTTATTTGCTTCCAGATTGAATATTTAATGCTAATATTTGAAATCTATAGCTGGTGATTATGCATGGATTGGTAGTTCCTACGTTAAGAGTTTTTTCATTGATTGGTAGTTCCTACTCCATGTTAGATGGTAATTAATGTAAAAATGCTGAAAGCAAGCTTACAATAAGGAACACTTTGTCTCAATTTCTTTTAATGGCATTGAAACAGTATAATGTTTAAAATGCTATCTTAAACAATTATGTGTACTAAATGATGCTGTGATGTAATGTATAGAAATAAGAAACAAACTATTTCAACAACCATCTATATTTCTTATAGGATTTTATAAAATCCTGGCATTATACTTCCTTTTGGCTAGGATTATCTCCCAGAAAAAATTATGAAAACTCTAAGACAATTGAAGAGATAATTTTCTCCTCTGATTGGTAAGAGTCATTTTTTAATTTTTTTAAACAAGTATACTAGTTCTTGAGTTTTAGGTAATATTATTTCATTTAGAAATTAAAACATTTCACAGTGATCAACTAGTTAATCCTATATGACATGCTCATTTGAAAGCAATTGTACAGACATAAAAAATATGTTTTTATTCTTGTTGAATTTTTTAGCTGGTTTGAGTTAAGATCCTTTGTTTGGATACATAGCAGATTCTAGTTAAAACTAGCTTCTATTACAATTGCATCCTTAAGACTACTACCTCACACCATGCAGAAATATCAACTCAAAATGGATAAAAGAATTGAACATAAGACCTGATCCCATAAAATATACAGAAGAAAATATAAGCAAAACACTACATGACATACATCTCAGTAACATCTTTATTTTTATTTTTTTAATTTTTATATTCCCCATACAATTGCAATCCCCTTATTTTGACCCCAATCCCTCCACTCCCCGCCCCCCACGACCCATAGAGTCTCGCTGGTTCATAGTTGTTTGTTGATTTTGATTTTCACTTTCTTATAGTTATTCATTTTCCTGGTCCCTTATTTAAGTTTTCTAGATTCCTGCTAGGAGTGAGACCATCCGGTATTTTTCTTTTTCTTTCTGGCTTATTTTGCTGAGCATGATCCCTTCCAGCACCATCCATGTTGCTGCAAATTGCATATGTTTATCTTTTTTGAATGCTGAGTAATATTCCATGGTGTATATGTACCACATCTTCTTGGTCCAGTCATCTATTTTTGGGCATTTGGGTTGTTTCCAAAGCTTAGCTATTGTAAACAGTGCTGCTATAAACATAGGGGTGCAGGTGCTCTTTGGAACTGATGTTTCTGTGTCCTTTGGGTAAATACCTAGGAGTGGAATTGCTGGATCATATGGAAGCTCTATGTTTAGTAGGTCCAGAAATCTCCACACAGCTCTCCATAGCGGTTGGACCAGTTTGCACTCCCACCAACAGTGCAGAAGAGTTCCTTTTTCTCCACATCCTCGCCAACATTTGTTGTTGCTAGTTTTTTTAATATGTGCCATTCTCACTGGTGTAAGATGGTATCTCATGGTAGTTTTGATTTGCATTTCCCTGATGACAAGTGATGTTGAACATTTTTTCATGTGACTGTTGGCCATTTGCATTTCCTCTTCAGAGAAGTTTCTTTTTAGCTCTTCTGCCCATTTTTGACTGGATTATTTTCTTTGTTGTTGTTGAGTCTCATCAGCTCTTTGCAGATTTTTGTGATCAGTCCTTTATCATTAGTGTTGTGTGCAAAAATGTTCTCCCAGTCAGTGGGGTTTCTCTTTGTTTTGGTTATTGTCTCTTTTGCTGTGCAGAAGCTCTTTAATTTGATGTAGTCCCAGCTGTTTATCTTTGCCTAAGGAAAAGAAAGTGAAGGACAAAATGAACAGCTGGGATTACACCAAACTAAAAAGCTTCTGTAGAGCAAAAGAGACACTAACCAAAACAAAGAGGCATCTTCCTGATTGGGAGAGAATTTTTGCACACAGTACAACTGCTAAGGGACTGATCACAAAGATCTACAAAGAGCTGACACTACTCAACAAAAACAAAGTAAACAATACAATAAAAAAGAAACAGGCAGAAGAGTTAAAAAGACACTTCTCCAAAGAAGAACTGCAAATGGCCAACGGGTATATCAAAAAATGTTCAATATCACTTGCAATCAGGCAAATGCAAATCAAAACCACAATGAGATACCACCTTACACCAGTGAGAATGGCACATATTAAAAAACAGACCATAACAAATGTTGGCAAGGATGTGAAGCAAAAGATACTCTCCTGCACTCCTGGTGGGAATACAAACTGGTCGAACAAGTATGGAAAGCTGCGTGGATGTTCCTCAAACTACTAAAAATGGAGCTACCATATGATCCAGCAATTCCACTCTTAGGAATCTAACCAAAGGACACAAAAACGTTCATTCAGGGCCTCCCCTGGTGCCGCAGCAGTTGAGCGCTGGGCTGAGAAGAAGCCCGCAGCCTCTGTAGCACCGGTTCAATTCCCGGGTACCTGCAAGGGTCCCACATGGTGCACAGACCTCTCCTGCAGCGCCCGATGCTCCCCTCAGCAGTGTATTTCGGTCCATCTGCCTGTTCTGTTCCCCGCTCTGGCTCCGGTGAATTCTCTCACCCTCCTGAGCTTCTGACTGTATGCAGTGCTTGTATAAATAAATAAATAAAATCTTTTAAAAATAGGAATTATTAAAAAAAAATTCATTCAAAAAGATACCAACATCCCTATGTTTATTGCAGCATTATTTACATCAGATAAGATATAGAAATGATCCTAGTGCCAAAAAATAGATGACTGGATCAAGAAGATGTGATATATATACACAGTGGAATATTACTCAGCAATCAAAAAAGATAAACTCATGCAACTCGCAGCAACTTGGATGGAGCTAGAAGGGATTATGCTCAGTGAAATAAGCCATAAGAAAAAACAAATATTAGATGGTTTCACTTATAGGAGGAATGCAAGGGAACCACATAGGGGATCAGGAAAAAAAATTAAAATAAATGTAAAAACAAAATCTACAGGCAACTATAAATCAGAGACATTATGCAGGAAGGAGGAGGGGAGGGATCATAACAGGGGAGGGAAGAACACAGGGGACTATGGTGATGGTGCCCGGGTGAATTTATGGTGAGGATTCTATGAGACTATACCTAAGAGGTGAAAGCAAACATTGTACAAAAAAAAAGAATAATACAAAATATATATAAAATTTTAAAAAAGGAATTACACTGTTAAAGAACATTTTTCCATTTTTTTAAAATATGCTTAATATTGTAAAGAGGTGCCACAGATACCAATATCTTGACAAGTGACTGACATCTAATAGTGGCCAAAGGGATAATTTCTGTGAATAAAGTGTTTGACTAAGAAAATTGTGAAAATCAACAAAATTCACGGAGATTTAAATGGACTTAAAATTGTGCTAAGTGCTAGGAGTCAAAGATGAATGAAAAATTGATTCTTCCTTTGTTACTTGACAATTAATTTTATGTGCAGGCTAATTAAGCAATTCTACATATAAAATAGATTGTGATAAATGCTTCAGAAACAATGCACAGAATAATGAAAAATAAATTTTAGTTTTGAAATTTATGATACTATATACATTTGAAATGGACAGTTTTGAATGAAAAATTCATAGAGAGACTAGAAAAGCATTTCTGGTAAAGAGAATAAAATGAATTTGGACCTGGTATATTGCATATATGATGAAATGCTTTCATCAATGATGGACACATCAGTGTCACCACAATGATAAATATCACAATTGATAATTAATTGATGAATTTTTATTGATTGATGATTATTATGAATTGAACCAAGTATTGTTGCTACATTTTCCCCAAAAGATAATGAATCAGCATCAGTAATCTTTTATTAGAAGCTGGTAATTATTCAGAACTCAGAGTAAAATCTTTGAAAAGTATCTAGAATTACTATCCCTTAGAGATGATGATGAGCTTAACTTATCATATACTAGGTTAATTCCTGGTTTTGCTGGTTGTGAAAAACATTTGAGGAGGATAGTGTCAAAAATTTCCAATTAAACTAGAGAATTCAAGGGGACTGCATTATTCTAAATCATATTAATACTTGGAAGGCAATGTTACCTCTGGGGTAAAAAACAGCAAATATTTCAGATATGAGAAAGTGGAAAAGACAGAAATATAAGGTAGTGTTTGATCTTGCATATCTGTCAATGAAAATGAGTAACTTGTAAACATCATCTGATATTCTGAATAATATTTATAATAATTAAAATTTATATTAGATAATGCAGACTTTTGAAGCAAAGATACATGGAAAAAGTCATTTGTGTGTGTGTGTGCATGTGAATATGTTTCAAATATTTTCGAAGTAATTCTTTATTTTCCCTTTCAGGTTAATAAATGGCACATATGACTTCAGTGGCAAGATGTATTGTGGATATGGATACAGTACTAATTATCTTTATTTTAGGCCTTGCACTCAACAAGGCAATTTTGTATGTGAGAAATTGGCTGATCAAGTGGAGATTGAGTATACCCTTGTGAGTGAAGAAACAGATATAATCAAGTAGTTAGTGCACTCATTTTGTTTCAGTTATTATCCTGCAACTAAGGGCAACTTTATGCAGAAAACTTTTTTGTGGACCAGATGAGTGGAATAAAGATGCTGAGAGACTAATTTTCTGTCTCTCTTCAAATACTTCATGCTTTTCCAACTTTCTTCTTTGTCCTCACTTTATGAGTAGAAGGAAATAATGAGGAAATACTTTAACATCTAGACAGAGACCTGACATATTGCTGAGCATAAATAGAGAATTTTGGGTGAAAATACAGAAAACCAGCTATTTTGTCTTGCTTCTCCCAATTAAACAATTTAGATACCAACATTATAGAAAAATCAAAGAAAATTAAATCTAGGAATATATACCAATAGAAAGGGTTCTCCATCATCACCAATTGGGGTTTATTCTAATAATGCAGGTTGATTTACATCATGGGAAAGAAAGAGAATATACATTATTCTTTATAGGTATAGAAAAATCCTTTGATAAAATTCAACACTACATAACAAAGTTTCTCAGAAAATAAAAACAAATGTTTCCCTTCCTATTAATAGCATTAAAGAGAGAACGTTGACATTAAAAAGAGAAGAATAAACAAACCACTAGCATAACAACAACAAAAAAAACATGAAACACCCTAAACCTAATGTTATACTTCTGGTAAAAGAGTGAATATTTTCTTTTGCACTCTGGGACAAGATATGAATGGTTTTTTGGGGGCCTGTGGGTTGGGAACCATCCCTCATTAGCAGTTCAAATGCTGACAATTTATGCTTCTGAAATCTCTTGATGTCATTTCCACACACAGAGCAATAGAGGTGCCCTACACTTGCACTTAAATTATGAGCCCTTGTTTAAAAGAAGGATCTTTATCATTTGATTTAAGACCTTCCACAAACTATTTTAGGTTCTAGCTGTGGAAAGAGGCAAGAAAAAGAAATTTTTAAATACAGAAACAAAAAAGAGGACATTTTCCTTGTAGCTACTACAATTGTGTACATAAAAAACATAATTTATAATTAGACTATATAACTCATTGTCACTGCATAAAATCTTAATGTAGCAATATCAATTCTATTTCTGAATGTCAACAGTAAGCAATACCCTTTATACCAACACCAAAATGGAAAAGTGTAATACATCTCATGAAAATGTAGAAAACTTCTGCATATGAAAATTACATGCAAAATGGTCCCATTGTCTCACCCCAAGAAACACTCCCTTCCTGGACCAGGCTACCAGACTGCTCATTATGAGCAGGTTTCTGTTAGAAGCACTGAGTTGTAAGGTTAGGTAGTGCCAGCAGAAAACCCATTGTGAGTTGTCTCAAAGAGAACAATAAATAAGTCATTTACTGTCAAATTAATTAATATGTACCCATTCCATAAGGGAAAGAGTCCAACTCACTTTCTCAGGAACAGATGCACACTCTGTTATGGAATTAATTGCTTGTCCTGCCCACATGTGCTTCAACCAGAATCGATATCAGTGAGCTTAGGGAATATTTATTTGATCAACTCTTTTGGGACCTAATGAAGCATCATGTCTGATCAAGGGTGGACATTGACTATGGGATCCACTGGTCTTATCACAAACTGTGGCAACATAAATCTGAGAGCCATGTAGAAAATGAACAAGACTAAGGGCCTGGAGAGCTTAGCTGAGCTGGAAAGCCAGCTCGGAGTTAATATCTATGACAACGTGATGCCATTTTCCAAGTTGTAGTGCATGCATTAAATCAATCACCTCTATGGTGCTGGGTCCTCAGTAGGTAGAAATTATGGGTCTGGAAACAAAGGGCAGAAGTAGAATAGCTCTGCCTATCACTGTTTCCAGTGACCAGCTTGGGAAATACATGCCATTTGTCTAAGTAACTGGATTCTATGACTTTAAAGAACAAACACTTCTACCAGGGGGCATAACACCTAACTGGATAAATCACTGTCTAGGAGCAAGAAATTTATCAACAGAAAGTAAGACTGCTGTTACTCAATAGGGTCAGAGAGATGTTTGACATCCAGATATCCCAACTGACTTTCAATTATGTAATTACTTCTCTTTTTAATCTTTATTTTTACCACATACCTCAACTTTTTTGATTTCTTATATATTCTGTGATGTGACCTTTTCTCCCAGACACCTTCTTCCCAGAGCCCCCAGTCCTCCTGCTTCATGATGGAGTGAAGGCTCTTCCCACGGGCTCTTCCCACGGGATCCAGGATTCATCCCAGGACACTACCCACTGCTCTCTTGACTACTCCAACAGCTGGAACTTCCCCACAGCTGTCATTTTTTTGTTTTCTCCCTTCTTTTGATGCTTTGTTATTTTCTCAGCTGGTGCTGTGTTTGTGAAGAGGTCAATTTGTATATAGTTGTTGATGAAGAGGTTTTAATTGAATGTTTCAGGATAAAGGATCACCAGTTGTGAAACACAACCCAGCAGTCAGTGAGTACTCAGCTGCTGGGACTGGACCAGTGGATCCAGAGGCTGATTCATTCTTATTCAGATCAGATGAGGACAGAGCATTTGAAATATTTTCTTCCCTTGGTCTGATTTGGTAAGGGGTTTGGGCCAGAAGTTGAAAATAAGGAACACATTGTGATGAAATTGAAAGAAAAAGAGGAAATTTAAGCAGCAGAAATTGAAGACCAAATGACTTATTTTAAAATATTATTCTTACTCGTATTATTACACTTACAGAATCAATAACTAAAAGAGATGGATCTTAGGGTATTAAATTAGTTAATTTTGTAGGATATTATTTTCATTGTTGATATTCTCTGACAATGCAAAAAGAGAGAGACCTTCCATAAGTACCGATTTACAATAAATTCCTTCTCCTTTCTCTGTCATGCTATCTTTTACCCTGCTTTCTTTCCATAGCCCTTGTCACTACTCTATATTACATTACTTACCTGTGAATGAACGCTTAAGTATTCATATATAAATGTATATTTGCAAATAAATGTGAGGTATATAAAGCAAACTACATACATGAAGGAAAATATTTCTATCATGTGGTTTAGAATGCAAAGCACATAGTATGTTGAGAAATAAATGGAATTTGATGAATAAAGGAATGAATGCATATAAGCAAATGTTTCTTAATTCTCAAATAAAAATAGATTTCTTTCTTGAAGTTAAGAAGGCAGAAATGACCAATGAAATAAAATGGATTGCAATTATATCAATGAACACAAGGCTTATCATGGTTGAGAAGGGGAGAATGAAAATCAGTATCTGTGAGAAGAAAGTTTTGATAAATAGGTAAATAGATATATAGGTATTATCTTTCCCAATAAAATTGGAGTTTTTATTTTAATGCCATTGGAGGTCATTCTGTCAGTTGCCCAAATGACATCCCAATCTTTTTGAAGTTCAATAAAATGTTTTTTTAATAACAATATTTAACCATTACTTTATAGTGAGCACAGCTGTGACTATTTATGAAAATTTAATAATTTACCCTAAAAATATGAATTGAACATCTAGTATGAGGTTGTCACTCCTCTGGTTATTCAGGATACAGTGAGTGTGCTCTGCCCTGACAGATCTTATGCTAAACTGTGAGCAAGACACTTGACCTCAAGAATTTCAATGTCCAGTCTTAGTTTTATTATTTTTTCCTGCATATAAGTACTGGTGTAGGCCAAAGGTGAGGGGGGTAAGAGGATTCACCAGAGACATAATGGGGAGCAAAACAGGCAGATCTACTGAAATACACTGCTAAGGGGAGTAGCGGGTGAGACAGGAGAGGTCTGCTGCACATGTAGGTCAGCTCCCTGGCTGGGGATCAAACTCAGGCTGTAGTTGTGCTATCATGAGACTTACCCCATAGGCCGCCAGGGAGGCCCCTCAATATCCAGTCTTGACAGTAAGTTTATGTAAATATATGACCTACCTTCCTCCCGTAATTGAGGTTATTATGGGTACATTCTAAAGAAAGAAGTGTGCGTGAGTGTGTGTGTGTGTGTAGGTTGTGGGCAGTCTCTATCTAGTGTAGCTAATAGCAAGTAGCTCACTCTTTCCTCTTTCTATTAGCATCATTTTTTTTTCCATTTGGCATTGCTCCAATAATATTCTGCCTTTAACTTCTTGGGACTCTTCAATCCACAAAAGTTGGAAGCAAAAAGGAGAGCAAAAGATTTGGAGAGAATGAACTCACCACAGTTTTGCTGAGCGAAGTACAACACTTAATTCTGACACTGTTCTCACAGGTACAGACTGATTAATGACTTTGTGCATGAAGAAGTAAATACACTTTTTATTGGTATTTTCACAGGGTAATCTTAGGTCTGGAGATTTGATTGGTTTCACTACAATTGCAAAGAGAGTGTTTATATTTTAAGCCCCTATTTTTCTCTTAGGACCATTTCTTCCACTTGATGCTTCCCTGGAGGAAGTTAAGAGAAGGAATGAGAGGTGTGCAGAGGTGAGAAAAAAGCAATTCTGAAATTCTCAGTAGAACAGTTCTGTTTTCTGGCATGATTTTGTCACTAGGTGTTTGCAGATGTAGATCACTCATCACCATCGCGGTGTGCACACAACCACCACAGTGGCGGCTTCTTGGAGTTTGGGGTGACTCGAAGAAGCACACAGAGTGACTGAATTGTGCTTTAGTTGTTCAGTAATGTCCGAAGAAGTGACTTATGCTACTGTCAAGTTTTCAAATGATTCTAATAAGACAATCCAGGAGAGCTTCAATCTCAAGAGAAGAGGTAAGATTCTCTCTGCAGGGTCAGACAGCCAGGGAAGAGGTCTGTTCCCTGTACGGGTGGGTTCTCCATGGCTTCCACTCTGAGCTATTAGACACTGCCGACAGTTCGGTGGTGGCTGCCAGAGGGAAATCTCTTTGCTGCATCCTAGTTTTAATGCTAAAATAGATCAAATAGACATATGCTATGATACACATAAGACCAGAGACTCTCATCACTGATGATGTGTTTATTTTGTTCTGAGAAGGAATAAAGTCAAAGGTTTCTTATCTCAACATAATTTAAATTCAGACCACATAATTCCAATCTGTTTTTTTTATTTTTCAAAAAATTCATATCTGGGAAAGTTAAGGCTAACAATGAAGCAGTTAACAGTTTTGGAAATTCCTAAATCATATTTACTGAAATGTCTT